GAAGGCACCTTCCAAATGCCACCAAATTGGCACAGTGAGCCCTTCGATTCGACGTAACTTTCGATGTAGCTTTTGTGTTTTATTTAAACTTCAATTATTCTCACTCTGGATTGATGTTATTTTAGGCAACCCATCTGCCGATACCAGAGATGTTTGGTCACATTATGCGACGACTTTATGCGTTTGGGATGCATGTCCTATAGAAATTGATTCAGGGTTTTCAGTTTGCATCTGTCAACTCAGGCAGAACCAAGGTTTCGAATTTCTTAACAAGTCGATGATATTTTAGTCGACTTTCAGGTATTGCGCATGATCAAAGATGCAGACATCCTAAAATTTCTCTCAATTATGTGACCGAATTCAATTACATCATGGCTCTGATTTGGCCGTCTACCAGAACGTTGTCTTTATATTCAATCGGACAGGCTCGTTGAACTGGTCAATTAGTGCGATAAATGGGCACGTCTCTTTGTGAGCCTCAGATTTTCCTTTGGCTTTCTAAACGTTAAAGAAAAAAGGGGCAAAAATGTTGCTCTAGTTGGCATCTGGGACGCAGGATTTGTTGTGTAGGGTAAACCTAAGGTGACATTTGGCCGATGTCAAACAGGGAAAAGTAGCAGCATTGACATGCGTTCTTCAAAATAAACAATACCTTATTCTCTTAGGACATCCGGGATTCCTCTGCTGCCAAAAGAGAAGTGGGAAGCTGCCAAGAAATTCATCGAAACGCACTATCTTAAACCCTGGGGTGTTTTTTTTAAAGGCAATCCGTAGTAATACTTTTTTGTCGAAACCAATGATTCGAAATGTCGTAAAATTATCAAGTGGCCTTAGCACCACCTCGAATAAACTGATTGCGCCAAATTGAAAAAGTAGAATTTCTGATTAAAATCATTCGCCTCTTGGTCATTTTTTAAACTAAAAATGACTGCGCATTTTGCACAAATTTTGATGAGTCACCAATTGTTGGTTTTTTTCTATTATTTAATTTAACTCAGAAAATGGCTTATTTGTTAACTAATGCGTGAATTCTTGCATATCTCTGACGAGCATGGAACTTTGCTTTAGTGAATAAAATGGTATGAGACTTCCGCACCCTGTCGCAGTGACTCGTGATGAACCTCGGTGGGCCGCAAAACATCCAAGTCTTATCCCTTACCAGGTTGGAACCATGTCCGGTGACAGCAGCAGCCTATCGGTCCATGCAGCTGATGCGAACCGTGCTTATTCACACATCTGAGCTGTAAACCTCTACACGTCAACACTCCACAGGACTCACCGCAAACAACTTGGTGAAGTATTTACTAAATAGTTGTGTCTGCGCCCCCTCTAGTCACCTTCATCTCCACGGGTTACGAGGCAGCGCAATCGGGCTTAATTCAACGCAGTGGCCCCGGCGCGGTTTAAGACCACATGTCGGGACCCACAACACGACCTTCGAGACTTCAAGCCACGGTTTTCGTCATCTGTCAAAAGCTGTAATACCAAAGAACGACGTGCCACATTACCATCAGGCAAGCCGAAATTTCCTTTTATAATACGCGTTCCACATCTATCTGAGTTCACCATCCAGGGGAGGATGAAATCCCAAACCAATGTATACATGAACTGAACCAGGTTTCGGTAAAGTACCCGTTTCTTCTAACCATTTATTTTCATTTCGAAAAATTTGATCCCTTTTTTAAATACTTTCAAAGAACCATTTCCAGAAGACAGTTACATAAATGCAGCTTCTCAAAGTCTGATTTTCTCCACAAGTCCCCCTGTAGGTTTGTCATCTTTCGCCCTATTATTTCCCCTCCCCCCGTCCTGGTGTCGAATTCATTTATCCAAGCAACACCGATGAAGTGACCTAGAGGGCTAAGTGTCATGAATAGACTATTCAAGCAGCGAATTCAGAGTTGAATCTGACCGATTTTTCCCCTTGTCAAAGGGAACCGCTGTAAGTTGGTGAGGATAACTTACATTCCTGAGCATTTGCCACGACAGGAGTAAATAAAACTTTACAAACAGCAACAACCAGTAATCAGACGTAACATCTTTTGCGAGTTAGTCAGAAAATGGGGCGCGTGAACTGTTGGGGCATAATTGCAGTTCATTTTACAATTAGTCCATTGTATTGTAGCATGAGACCGCACTCTTGTTACAGTAATTTATTGTGATACGAATAAGGACTGTTGTGAATCGCGTTGATTCATACTCTCTAATCAGATCACTTTAACCTCCGACACAGGGTCCCCTTATCGTAGCATGTCGCGAGCAGCGCGGATCCTCACCCACCCCCTCATTTGCTCGAACGATCATCCTCCTCCTCGATGTTAACGCATCAATGACTCAAGCGTCTGAGGTATAAATGCCCACGCGCAAGCCCCACCCACGAAACAACGACACCAACGTGGTTGAGCTCTGAAGTGAACGGTTGTGTCCACGTCCTCTCCAGTGGTCTGCTTCTTCATTGCGGGTATCAGGAAAGCGTAATCGGGCCTGAGTTAATTCAGTGGCCCCGGCGTGGTTGAAGACCACATGCTGAGGTCCACGAAAATAGGTGACCTCGATGTAATGAAAGGTCCTCCGAATTTAACAACAGGACAAACCGATCATTTGCGAATCACTTGCCAATGTTCATTCTTTCTTCCTTTCGTTTTACAGATTTCCTGATCTCGTGTTGTCAAAAAACTCCCGGTCTGGTCTCAAAGTCATTGTTAGGCCAATTCTTGAAAATTTTATGGTTTTCAATAACACTCTAAGTGAGCAGAAGATGTGGTACTCTGACTGGAAGACGGAACATGGATGCGTCGAAGCCTCACAGTAGAGATGACCGTCTTCATATGTTGTGCTGTTTGTGGTCAGGTGTTGTCAAGCTTCAAGACTATTCTTCTTATCAACCATGTTCAAAAGTCGTGTGGTTTTCGATAGTCTGTTTATGTGCGAGCATTTCAATTGATTGTGCATCGCTTAACCGATTTGGCTGTTCTATGAAATGTCACATGTTAATGCAAATATCGTCAGAGCCACAGCAAATTGTTTACCAGACAAAGAGGAAAAGCGTCAGAGTCCTTTGGTGAAACACTTACCCTGTACACACATAGCTGGCACTGAGAGCTCTTAACAACGTTTAGGTAGATTAAAGAAGGCCTGAATATTGAAAATCGAAATCCGTAACAACGCAAAATACCTTTCTAAACAGTGCTGATTTATATATTAATCCATCGGATTATTGTCATGTAGTTCCCCTAGCTTCCCCTGGCACCCTTCCCGGCCATTTCTCGAAGAATTCTGGTGGAGAAAGACAGAAGTAAGTTTTCGGCTACTTTCAAACTTATGCTTATAGCTAGAATGCTAGATTGCTTAATAATTAGCACAAACAGAAATGCAGTAGACATTTTGCGCAATCATTTCTTTCCTTTAGCACAGAGCAAACGAGTCCGACGGTTAAATTATTCAAACGATCTTAGGCATCTCTACAACAATTAAGCTTTTATGGAAACGGATGAAGAGCTTTTGTTTATTTGGTATTTCCAGGTAAAAAAGTTTTTTTTCTAAAATGAAATAAATTAATCATTTGCCTAAACCTTACGCAACGAAGCACGGGCACTAATCGGAAAATATGTCAAACAACTTCACTTAATTCTCATCGTCTTATTACTTCTCCGCGACGTTAGTCGCAGAGGGATGGGAGACTGTGGCTCCACTGGACACACAGCCGACGTGAACTGTGAATCAGCACACAGCCGCGCCAGCAGTCACTACCTAAATGAAAGCTAGTAGAGGTTGCAGCGGATTAACAGCGATCGCACCTGAGTGAACCCTGCTTACTGACCTGACGGTGACAATGACCCATCGCCTTTTCATTCGTTGCTGTATTAGATGCCTGTCACACTTGGCTGGCGTGACGCTAATAAACGGTCGTGTCCTCTGTCGTCTCTCTTCTTTCCATTCTCGGGTTGTTACGGGCTGTTAACTAGAGAGTTGTAAGGTAGCGCTTAAAACACTAGCGTTTAGACCTGTCGATTCATAATAATACCGGTGCAAGCTTTATAGTGCGTCATTTGCGTAGAAGTATAAAAAAGTGTGACTCCTGTCCTGTTTACTGCTTGGCTGGGAGTGAAAGAACTAGTCTTCTAATGATACCGTAGAAAGACAAGCCTACCTTGCAGATGGCATAAAATTGCAAATTACAACCTCCGTAGTGGAATGGAGAAGCAGGTGCACAGGTCGGCTAACATCTTATCGGTCTTACCACACACGTGAATCCCAATCAGGTCATGAAAATTACTCACGCCACATCATATTGGATTCCGCATAGTCAGTGCTCTTCCTGTCGAAATCGCTTATCCACTGACCATCGACGAAGAGTGAAATCAAAACTCATTGCTCAAATTTCAGCTACACACAGTAAATCAAAATCTCACTTAATGACGTTAGAAAGGTAGCAATCCCTTATCGGGACCAAAGCACCGAGGATCATCCAAGCGTGAAAAGTGCGGCTGCCATTCCCGGGGACATCCGACTATGACAAGACAAACCGCGAGAGCAGGAGGGTTTACTTGTAAAGCACACCAAAAGTATATTTTTACTGAGTAAAGAAGGAGGCGGGCGGAAACAAGCGAAAACCTCAACTCGACAGCACTCCGGTTAGGTACTTCAGTGTCTTTTCAATCGTGTTACGCGAGTTGGCGGAGTCCTGCAAAATCAGCCTCATTTCGTCTTCCAACTATAAAAAAAAAACAGGAAACCATCTGAGCAGTGCACTTTCAAGTGATGCAGCAAGTACCCAATGTTTCTCAATGTTAACGTGAGAAGTGGGGATCCGAATAGGACACTACTGGTTATTAGCAGTGATACTGGAACGCCTAACTGGAGCTTAGAGTCAAACGGGCCAGCCCTCAGTCAATGCTGACTTTGGCGTCTTACTTTTGAAAGCTGATCGTCGCATCCGCTGTAACTAATCACTAGCTATGGGGCCAGGTGAAAGTGAAGGCTTTAGTTGCCTGATGGTCGTGGTGGCGTTGCCTTCAAACCAGCTGACCGGTGAGTAGACTGGGGTGAAACTGACCTGGTGGATACGTTTACGGGCAGTTTCCTGCGTTTCACGCAAACGGTCGTTCACAAATTCTAACTGAGCTTGCATTGAACCCTCGGCTTGCTGAATGCGTTCATCGTAATCCCTGTTAAGTTCTTCCAATGTTCTGGAGATTTCTCTTGCAGAAAAAAACAATCAAAACATTCTGGGTACTTATAACTTGTGAGTAAAAACCTACGATTGCTTTCAGAGCTGAGAAAATATGACAATGAGCACGGCTCAGAAGCACCGGAAATTGGGATTGACACCGATATACGGGAACACCTTTGTTTGGAGCGAAACAGCTCACCTAATTTTGGTTCTAGCTTCATCCCGTTCTCTTTCGACAATTTCGACACGTGACTTCCAGTCATTTTCAATAGAAGCCACCCTTTCCACGAGCGTGGCAGCCTTCTCTTGACAATCCGTCAGCTCAGATTTGAGGGTTCTATGAAAAACAAGACGTCTAAAGCAAAGCAACTTCCAAAAACGAGATCACACTTGCTACCCTGCTTGCAGTGCCGTAGGTGAAAAAGTGCAAGCAAACGCCAAAATCTAGCACAACAGTTTTATCATAGCCTTCTGGAAGAGATCTACAGTTTGATTGCAGGTGATAGTTCAATCAAGACGCCAAACAAAAGCGCTTTTCTGCACAGTGTCAGCTTCAGCGGAAACCAAAATAAGCAATGCTGCATTTTATCAACTACTGGCTTACTTGTTTTCACGTTGCAAGTCGAATACGAAATTCTGCTGCTGAAGTATGGTCCCTTTCAGCTCGTCCTTCCGATCATGCAGACGGTCGATGACCTCCTTTAGTGATTAATAAAAGAGAACTGAACACGGGAATGTGGTGAAAGCAAGGGTTGCCATCAACACAAGTCAGAGGTCTACCCTTAGCTCCTTGTTTTCCTCCTTGCATGCACCCAGGGCCTTTGATTCAGTTTCGAGGGCTTTAATTTTTTCCCGCACAATCACCAACTCCTAAAAACAAGGAAAATTCACCTGCTGACACTGCAATCAGGTCCTAGCGTGGGGAGATTTCAGCCAAACTGGCCATAAGAACTCGGTGAAATGCAGTGGCAAACGCGCAACCTCGGATCAACGCATTTGCATTCACTCAAACTTTATAAAGGGTCAGACTGAATTACCCAAAACCTCTCCGACTAATAATTTATGACCTGACTATGTTTCTGCTCTACTTCAATCAGCTAATTGAAAAGTGGTTGTGACGATGTAGAATATGTACATTATCAGAAAATAATTACTTATTGATTAAACACCAATGCAGTGAATCAGAGAGTAATTTTTGTGACCTTTCAACAAGGCAGAGCAAGGAAGCCAAAGCATTTGCGGCCTTAAACGTAAATCGGTGAAGCAGAAGCGGTTCGCGAGACACGATGGCTGCGAAGTTAAAAATATCAGCTCTTAAATTTTGGCAAAGTTTACATTAAATGGAAGGTCGTTAGCAGAGATGACGAATCAATGCAAGTCGGCGTTTCCATATCTCCAATCTCCACCACTAAAACTTAATCGATTGTGACAGAAATGAGTAGCTTGAATGCCAACCAGATGTGTTCTTATGGGCTGCCAACATTGCACTCCCAGTTCTGTCAGAACTGCAGTGGACAATCAGAGGAGATTTATCAGTAGACGCACGTGGGAACACGTGTAGGTAAGGAGGGTCAACATCTATGGCTCTTCCTTGTATTTCACATTTATCCCTTCACACACAGCGAATTTTCACTATCACACGCAATCTGCAAACACACTCACTAACACCCCGTAGGGGCCTTTCATGTGACCACTTAGTCGTGTAATTCCGCCGTCTTTTTTGGTACCCCGCGTTGGGGCTGTTAACGAATAACTACTAACAGCTTTAGGCTTGCACATGTCCCTCAAGCAATCTAGATAAATTGTACCATCTGGAAGAAACCTTCGTTTGCTTTGATCTGCTGTAACGTCACTTGAATTTTAAACGTAGACTGGTAGTCAACATGTGTTTGTTCAACTAGTTTATGTGATTTATTATTGTATAGCAGTCCTCCCACAACGCTGGTCCAACCTCTAATTCATCTGCAAAACAACCCAAGGATGGCACAGGCTCTCCAACTAGCACAAAACAATTCCACCAACACACTGCAACACTTGGCAAAGAGCCACGGAAGCTTAGAGTGTTGGAAACCTCTACTTCATCACTTTGGCGTACCACAAACTCTTATGAAAATGGATTAATTACCAATTTAGGTCACCCAAATCTAACAACTGGTGAATTTGACCTAGAGTCAGATGAGCGCAAATAGTTTAATGGAAAGCACAGCACAGTGGGTTTGAGGCTGCTGAATGTATGCACATTTGTGCGATATTTTGCCCATGGGTACAGCCAACAAAAGACCGACAACCTAGTGCAGAACCTTTAAACCACCACAAAAAAGTTCGAAAATTGAATATTTGAAACGGGACGCTCTTAACTGTGACACCACAATCAAGGATATTTTGATTCTGAATGACTTTGGGATAGTAAGAAATTTCGCTGCTGGGCAAATCAAGTAATATTTCGTTTCACTTTCAAATTTGCTGAAATCACTCATCTCAAGAAACGAGCCAGCAAACAGGTTAAACCTGATGGAGGTCCGCATAGCTGAACATTCAGCTCTCACCTTCATCGCAAACATGCAAATGCTGTCATGAGTTTGTGAAATAGATCCGATGTTGCAGTCTTATTACTAACGATCAAATATCCCTTCGGCCACGCACCTTGCATTTCTGTTTGCATCCCCAATTTAAGCTGGACTGAGTGAAATATAACTGACATGTATAGCGGTTCGATGTGACTGTGATTCAATCTTGTCTTAAATTAGTGGTTGAGAACTCCTGCTGCGTGTCCTTAAAAGCCGACTGTGCAACCATGTCGCATGAATGAAAGGCCAGAGAGTTCTGATGCACACCCGCGCAGACTGTTAACACGGGGCTCGAATCTAGTTGGCGTCGTGTGTGCTATTTTTGTCCCCACATAAACAAGACTAAGGAGCTGTAATTTCCCCATCAGAAATTGCGCCTTGGGTGAAACATACCGACTTCAGGGTCTTTATTGTCTCTAATTGGTCGTCGATTTGTTTGCTCTTGATGCGCACGTTGTCCTGTTCAGACTGTGAAGGCCAAAAAGAGAGCATTCCTCAAGTCAAAAACAACAAGCAGACAGCAAAACTGACCGCAAAAATTAGCCTGCACACACCACCAACTTGGTTTCCAGCTCACTGACTTCAACAGACAGAGCCGCATTGTTGTTAGACAAATCACCTAGAGAAAAAGCACACGTACAGAACGACTGGAGTGCTGCTGAGGTATATTCAGTAGACATTTACATCTAATGAGCAGCGGGTACAACTAAAACATGGTGAGTTATTTGGGGACTTGGGTATTTAGACTTTAAGGACTTCCACCGCCTCCTTCTCCTCATCCTCTTTTACAGGTGACAACAGGAGATTTTAAAGCGAATGACACCGAGAACAGACAGGTACCTTGTTGCTGTTTCAGTCCGATGTTTTCCTCCTGCAGTCGACTAATGGTTTCCTTTTGTTCCGACAGCCTGTCCTTCATCAGGCAGCATTCCTGTAAGCAAGCAAAAACACTGGAACTGGCATGGGGCCGAGATAAACGCAGATGAAGGTCGAAATTCTTCACTTAATCAAGCTAAACAGCGATGCCAATGATTGCACTCAGACTTGAGTGAATGACCTAATAATTGGCCGTAATGCGTCAAGTATTTGCCACTGTTATTAAGCAGCGTTGGTTAGGTTTCTGGATTTCACCGTCTTTTGGGAGAGAAGGTAGCAAAGGCGATACAAATGTTAGCATGCTAACTTCCGCGATGGGTGATTGGTTTAATGAGACTCGGAATATTGAGTGAGAGAAAAAATCTTCATATCAAGACGAACAAACGGAAGTACAGTACTGTGTGAAGGCAGGAAAGAAACACGACTTAAAGAATAAAAAAGCCCGTTTATTCCTAGTGTAAAGACAAAGTAAGGTGTCATACTCCCACATGACTCAAGCAGCATGCAACAAGCAGAGGGGAAACGGCGAGAATGTCGCCTAAGTTAACAAACACACCTGCTTGCGATTTAAGTTGTACAAATAAATTAGAAATACCCAAAGTTTGAAATCTTTCATCCTCACTTTATGTTTTGCACAACCGTTTACGTCGGTAGCAGTGACCTAGAAAAACAGCCACGTGCCTCAATTAACCAACACTTCGGACAGCTGAAGGTGCATACTACATCTCAAAATCAGTACGTCCAACTACGCGGAGGGACACAGTATGTTGAGGTTGGGCAATTGATCATGGCAAGCACACTCGGATCTTCAAAAATTTTCTCATTGTACTCACCTCGTGCTCTTCCATCAACTTCATTTTAGCCTTCACTTCCTCTGAGAGCTGAGTGGTGATCTCCTTGATTGTCTAAAAGATTGAAAAACGTCATCAATTCCTTTAGTAAACCACCTATCTATTTATTCAATGCTAATCCAAGAAGTATTCAAGCTAGTTTTTAGAGTACTTTGTTAAAGCAGCCCCTTTCGGAAGGATTCTTGCCAGCCCTGGAACCCAGCCAACATGTCACCCTTGCTGCTGTGCGTTTTGCGCGTAACCCTCATCCGAAGCGCGCAGGACGCAACGCAGTGTAGCCAGGTGGAGGAAATAGTAGGTCAGAAGAACGCAGCGGTGTTTTGCTTAGGTGCGAAAAGTAAGCAATATTTGGGCCTAGCAATCGATAACTTGAATCCCTGTGAAAATTTACTAGGAAAGTGCGAAAGAAATCGAAATAAATTTTGCATCAATTACTCAAACTCCACGGAAGCGAATCCAATGCTGGAATTATTATGCAATGGGCGAAAATTTCCTGATCAGGTCCACAAAGAATGATCAACAACAAATCTTATGATTCGCAGCCTGCACTAAAACACGATATTGAATCCTAGGTAAAATGGAATAAGTCGTGATTGCCGCAGTCTTAGTTTGCTCACATCAATAAAGCTGTCTGGTGAAGCATGTGGGAGATTACTAAATAGTCGAATGCCTTGACCTGCATGGCCTCTTTCACAAATTATTCCCCCAGGGTGCGAGCGCATGTGCCTTTATTCAACATCGCAAAGTAGCACACTAGACCAAAGCCGCCCCTTTAAAATGGAATAATAGCACAGACATGGCGCACTGCTGTACGTTTTTCTCAAAAGCACTCAAACCGATGATGCGCCTTGTTTGAATTAGTTAAAAAAAATGAGACAGCAAATTACCTTATTCATGTTTTTGAGCAGATCCTTAGCATTCAAGAGGTTTTGGTCGGAAAGTTGGAGCTCTTGCTGTTGTTCAACAATGGTCTGCACAAGTAAGAAAGGTGCTTTCATTAGGAAATCATTTGGAGGGCATGTGCCTTATACATCAATATGCCTGAATGCGATGAGGCGTAATCGGCTCTGTTGGATCTCCGTGCTGACAACTGTCATCACCTGCTTTTGAATCATTTATGTCTCGCGAGTAGTTTTGATGGCTCACCGATGGCTAGAGTGGATCTAATAGACTCAAAGGTGCCGTTAACACGAAGCAGGACAAATGGACAATTCTTGTTTCGATTCTATGCTGGGATTTTATGTAAAAACGGTTGGATGACCTTCAGAGCGTTAAATAAACACAACTGGTTTAGAGTAGAAAAAATTCGTTTTTTTATAACAGCAAACACAAACTAAGGTTTTAGGTTTCACAGATCCGAGGGGAGGGGTTAAGAAAATGCCAAAGGACGATCCACCACGAACACCTCCAATCATAACGGACAGCTCCAGCATCAGAGACGTTAGCAAACTTGTGCTTTATTGGTTTCTCGTTGGCTTGTGTAGTAATAATTAAGCATAAAATAATTATGCGCACACCTTTCTTCCTAGAGTGTGTCAAGAGTTGACTGAGGTCTAGTACCTGCATCTTATTTCTTTCATGACATTTCGGTACAAGTATGACGATGTTCCCGGCTTGTTTAAAAAAAGGTTGGCTAATTCGTTGTTTTCATGGACTTCTAGTCCCCGAGTTCAGCCAATCGCCATAAACTCAACGAATTATACTAGCATCTGTGTCTTTAACACAAAACGCATCAACAGAAAAGATTTCAGGAGAAATCTCTGAATCTGAGCCAACCTCCCTAGTAAAAGCCCAAACATTACAATATTTACAAAAAATGTTACTATAACACCCTTGTTTCTAGGTGGTTTCGCTCATTCGGTGAAGATTGCACGTCACATATTACCAAAGAGCATGGATTGCAGACACTAAGACGCAGGCATGGAGGTCTTTGATATAAGAAATTTAGAAGGGAGGAGCCAAGCAAGTTTCCGCTCCAACAGTGCGACGTTTGCACACCGATTTTGTTGAGGAGTCCACCTTGGCAGTACGTCCACCGTAAAACCACTTAAACAGAAAGCGAATGTTTGGAAAAACCTGACGCACAAGTATTCACACGTGGATCACCACCCGGGGCTTTAGGGTCAAGTAATAACGCTGTTTGTATAAAATTACTCCAAAATTTAAGGATTCTACTTATAAGTGAAGCACATTTAGGGCGTACTTTTTTTAAGTTATTGACAGTTGCCGTTGCAGAGTTCAAATGCTCGTTCGCAGCGATGAGCTCCTGGCTTTGCTTTTGGACCACCTCCTCGGCAGCCGCGGCCCGCATCGACATCTGCAAACAGAATTGCCTCTTGAAAGTGCTCACAAAGAACTGCAGCTCTTCTCACAAGGAATATGATGCTCATTACAAAATTCATAGACACATTAATCAAATTAGTGAAGTTCTTCAGACCTAGGGCACTTTACTATTGTCACTGGCCACGATTTGCAATTTGCTTCAACGATAATTCAAGGTTTGGGGTCATGTTCGAGTGAATAAAAAGGATATTCGTCTCTAATGATCAAATAAACCCTCCTAGCCGAACTATTAGTATTCGATTACTACACCTGCCAACAATAGAAGTTCAAAGATGTAAAGATTACTTAACTTTACCAGTCGAAACCGCAATTCACTCTACAAAAATGGATCAATTAAGGAACTATGTAAGGCATTTGCCAGTTACCTGGCTGTAGCGTTTGCTTTCAGTCAGAAGAGCACTTCGAAACTCCGCTTCAAGCTGCGCATACCTGTCTTTGGCTGCCTTCAACCTAAAGACAAAAATACCACCTGCAATTTTTCCTTTCGACCAGTTGTAAGCTAAGTTGGGCCAAACCTACTCGACGACCTTTTAATGTACAATCGGTGGAGTCAGAAACTGACGATAATGGAAAATAGGACTGTTTAAACCACTGCATTAGGGGGTGGCACCTGCCACTCAGACCATCATTACTGGGGATATGAATGTGCGAACGTTGCGTGCAGACTTGAGAGGACCACAGTTGTCGTGGGTTGGGCGTTCACTCTTCGACCAATCAAACTGCCCAATAGGACGGCAATACAAAAGACATGCCCACAGAGTGCATTGTAAGGAAGAAGAGGGCAGTGCGTAAGTAACTTAAACCTTTAGCAGCAAGGGAAAGGATAGTTTATTTTTAATTTTTATGTACTATTTCCCGAGTATGCTTTACAGACTGCAGTCTTTTCATTGATTCATACGATTTCAGTCAACTTATGGTCCCGAAAGATTTATTAACAATGTGTAAGGGTGACGGATAATAATGATCCATTGAATAAGAGGTGCTAAAGTGACAACCCAGAGATACCAGAACAAAAATATAATTTATTGAGTAAAGCGTGAAGTAGAACCAGGTAAATGCGTTGTATACCACGTTCTAATCTATACGGATTGAGAATGAAAGGACTGGAAGACCCAAACTAAACCCAACACTTACTCGGCTTCCACCTGAGCCCGCCCACTTTCACACGCCTTTGCAATCCGTTGACAGACTGTCTTTTCTTCTTGCGTCAGCTCGTCTATGCGACTTTCCGCCTCCAGAATAGACTTCGTCCACTAAATGATTGAGTTTTTTGTAAGCTATCGCTCTAGCTCGGAGCAATGAAGGATGCAGAGGATACAACGGGATGGTGTGCTTGATAGAACACCTTTAGCGTCCTCTTCTTGAGTTACTTTAAAATACTCCGAGTGCTGTTGTTATGCCTTAAATCTAATCTAATCAACAATGCGTAGTACTTAACAGCTTTTCAAAGTACCACAAGCAGGAGGCCGCACTATGAATGCCATCGAGTTAGTTGCTGGATGAACCTGAACGGAATTCCGTAACTATCTAGACTCACCATCGACTCTCGCATCGCCATTTCCGCCTCCATTTGGGCTAGTTTTTCTTTAATGACTTGGCTATAGTCCAATGTCGACGCAGTCAGGACTTCAAAACGTTGTACTGTCATCTCGACCCTTCTCTTGGTGAAAGGAAAAGAATTAAAACAGCCGTTAGACAAAGTTCTGTGCAAAATCCTGAGGACAGTAAAGTCCTTTGCGAAGAATGCAGTATGTCGTTAGATAACGTGTAAATGCGACGATATTTTGCTGCACAAAGACCTCAATCTGTTCACATGCTAATTTTGAAGTTTCAGCATGCACAACAGTAATAAACGAGCCATTTTAATGAAAATAAACCAAATTGTATCAATCATGTAATATTAGTTTCTCCACACATTCACCCAAACATCAGAAATGAAAATCATTAAGACATTCTCTGTCTAAATGATATTAGATGTAAATCAATTATTCAGGGTTTGGGGCTCTTACATGATAGCTAAATTGTGGACTCGTTGCAACACCACAAGCACAATCCATTCCCGTCTTTAATGAAGGCCTTTTCAGACTGGCTGCCTTGTGCCCAAAACATTAGTCACTAGGCAGCTGCTCGTGAAATTGCTGAGGAGTAAGCAAACATTTTAGCGGACACAGAATGGCAGTACATTCAGGCCCCTTTCAGACGACGGCAGTGGAGTTGATTGAAGACAAAAATGTAACATAGCGTCACAAGAAATTTAACAACGTAGAGGCTGCACCAAGAAAGCGTCTGTGCTCCGGTCGGATATCAGACACAATGTAAAACTTACCAACAAGTTATGAGACTCGGCTCACACGACAGACAGCAAAGGAGGACGCTACCGGCTCCGGTAGCAGCCTCATTTGCAATAAGTGGACCTCTGTTGAGTTAACTCAGAGATCTATCTGAACAAGTGATTCGTTCTTACTGGGTGCCATCACCACAATCTAACCAGGATTCCAGTAAGCATTTCTTGTAGTTCAAATTGAGCCTTCAAAATTTTGGCCTTGAGTATGGAATCGTTCGTTTTACTTAATCAATTTTCTGGGCCAAAAGGGCTGGCGGAATCCAATTATGACGTTCAGCAAATTACAAGTTTTGCCTTAAATACTGAAACCGGAGGCCAGCTTTTCATCGTCCTTAAGTAACAGCCTCAAATCAAATGTTAGAATAGGGGACTTGAGACATAATAAACTACTCAAGCATATTTAAACGGTGTTGTTCAGCTATCGTAGATATTTGAGTAAGATGACAAGAGGGAACTACATGCCTACCACTCTTGCTTAAAATTGGAATGCAGTGGAACAGAAATCGCAAACGATGCTAACTCAAATAGTTAAATAAATCTTAAGACTTGACACTTGAGGATAAATTAAATCCTATTTGGGGGACACGCAGCAAGTTTGGCCTATTTAAAATTAATTTTATTAGAGTCGGCATGTCATTATGACCTCGGTCCACAGGCTTCCAAGGAGCGATTATCCCTTTCCCGACCAGATTAAACTTAGGCGTCAGAAACGTAATAACAGCAACTAAAATCCCCTAAGGTGCTTTCAAAGTAGCCCTCGCTTCAGGTTAGATTTAGACACTTGTAGATTTCATGTCAGGGATACCAGCGGTGAAATGTAAAAGTTAGAACTAATATTTGGCATTTTGGGGTGCTGTTCCTGCTGTTATCACGGAACATCCATGCACACTGCCATGTTAATGCATTTTAGAGAATTACCTTTGAGAAAACGTAGCTTAATCCAGACAATAAAACCAGCATTATCACAGCTGATTCGAAAAGGTTTTTTTCGAAAACATGCCATACCAAATAAAACACAAGAATACTTCACGGATAGAGCAATGTATATTGCATAAAGGCAAACAACAAAATAACTTCAACAGAAAAACCTTAAACAAAGATGCAAAGCACGGCACACCACGGGGCATGCAAAGGTCGCTTCCTCCTAGACAAAGTTGATTCTCTTCATTGTAGCCCTGTGACGTGGACTTTGAGTCAATTTTCGGCGACCCCAGATTGACCTAATTCATTATACTATCCGACATGAACGTCCTGCCTTACAAGAGCTAAGTAAGCAGTGTGCATGAAAGCAGCGTGATACCAACCCTCGCGATGTCCGCACTAAAGAGATCTCAAAATTTGATCCGTGCAATCCAACGCCGCATTACACACAAATTTCGCTTGCTTTAGACTTCAGTGCAATGTCTCGGAGATGACTGGCCGTCTCAAGAGCACAAGTCGCCGTTAGGCCGATATTCATTTCTTCAAAAGACCGCTACTGCAGCATCGAGTGTTTTTTGAGGGACGATGATGAACTACAAATACCACGATATGGGTCGAAATTTATAAAGTGTCGTAGGTACTAATACTTTCTAAAGCAACAGATTTGTAACCAACCCGATGGCTCTAAAGTCCTACCGCAAAATAAAATGAAAAAGACGGTGCCACAGGAAGTTTAGCCGCGACAACTCACAGAAATATCTTGCAACCGTTTTTCCAACAGGTTTCTACTTCTAACTTCAATGGCGAGCTCTTCTTTAAGCCTAAGATTTTCGCACAAGAGATCCTGCTCCTGCTTGCCTAACAGGTAAGAAGAAAAGGAGTTAGGTAATTGATAAGTGTGTGCATACATCCACGTTACCACATACTTCTCTCTTCAAGCTTTTCAGTCTTTTTCAAGAGACTCTCGTGCAACTGTTCCGACTTTCGTCGAAGCGAACGTTCCATTTGGAGTTCGCTTGAAACCTTAAAACGATAAACCCCAAAATAAATTGATTTCTCTGAATTCTACACTAGTTGATCTACCAATTTGAAGACCACGTTTTCATGATCTCTCCATTAACGAGAAGTGGCTTATTTGCTTGTGTCCACGTGCCCAAAATACAAAACAAGTGTGAACTCGAAGAGTTCCTTCAACATGCCTGCGACCTATCGTTATATTGAAGAGATTTCTATAACACTGTCTGGCAAGCCAGAATTCATGTTGGTTCAGTCAAGAAATTTACATCCTCCGTCTTGAAGACAGAAGAGCCTACTCATAACCTCATAGGCCAGAAATAACGTCGCAAAAGCCACAAGTGCAGTAATTAAAAAGGACCTGGCGTAGACCTGATCGAGTTGTGAGATGAGTTTCCGTCTCTCCTGGCTCCCGATGCCAACTTGGAGCATGACATGTCGGACCTTCTTCGGAGAAACGAGCCTCAGCGCGTTAGAACAATGGTCTCCAATAGCCTGAATGCCACGAGAACATTTAACCTAAAAATAATGTGTGAGGTTGGGAAAAAGATGAATTATAGGTAAATAAAAAAAGAACATGAATAATTGAATAAAACGCTTCCATACACTTCCCTATCTTGTAAGAAGCAATTGACAAGGACAGGGAAACTAACATGCAACTGCAAAGACATGGTTATACCTTCACCCGAAGAGAAATGCTTTCGATAGGGGCAACTGCTAGCAAGGAAAGAAGTAAATCAACTCGTAAAAAATGTACTGTCAGGTATATACAACTTTGTGGTGGAGAAGACTATCAGTATTTTACCTGTTTCAACATTCTGGAGAGAATAAGCGGTGCATTCACGTGATTTAGAGTCAACTGTTTGGAGTTGAGGCAAACTAAAAAATAAAATTGCCTGAAAGCCTTGGACAGATAAAGTGAAGTTAAAGCATACCAGCATGGTAGCATAATGGATTGTCAGCAGAGCTCGGTGGTTCATCTGAAATTATCAGATCCTTGAGATTTTTAAGGTCAGATAAATCTTGAATAAGACCATCAATTGATGCCAAACGATTGCCTCTGACGTCCAAATACGTTAAGGGATGTCCTTGAGCTCCGCGTAAATCAGATAGATTTTCCAGTTGATTATAGGATAAATCCAAGTAAACAAGAGAACTAAAAGCATGAGGAAAGCATACTAGTAAGCAGACCTAAGAATTGCATAGCCTGCAATAACTACAAGCATAATTTCATTAAAAACCACGATTATTTACAGCTCCATAAGTCTTGGTGCCCTCAACGCCAAGCAACTGGAAGCAGAGGGATAACGCACTACCCTGTTGGTTAACTAATATTTAATATTTAAGTCCTTTGAAAGAATTTTCACAATGACAGTGATTTCATGACCACATCTTTAGCCTCGTGTCACTTTTCGCGCACCACTATTCGCAAATAGACCTCTGGACTAATCACTAAAATTCAGTGTAATCAGGAATAAATTTCTCGAGATCAATGTCGTTGGGCATAGCAACATTTTTGGACGCCCAAAACCTCCAAGGTCAAAAGGGACATCAAAAAGGCAGTGAAAACAATGTAAATAAACGGAATCTGGCTTTTGAAGCTGTGTTATGAGCAAATTTGCTAGAAATCTATTATTATTATTATTCCAGGAGTACGTAAACATTAACAATTTTAATGGCACTCAAGTTTATTTTGTGTACTACAGTCTAGCTAAGGAAAATGCACAATTTGCAAGTCAGCCTACTAATTCACAACACTCCATGTCTGTAAAATTTACCAAGTTTAAAAAAAGTTTGCGATGAGAAAAGTATACATGGGTATTAGTTACCTTAAATATTTAAAATCGGAAACGTCGCAAAGGTAGTTAGCACTTAGATTAAGTCGTTGCAGGTTCTGAAGATTTCTGACACCACAAAGACTAGTCAGCTGATTTGAAGACAAATCCAAGTTTATAAGAGAAGCTGGTAAAATATTTTCCCCCAAATCAGCAATCTGGTTGTAATGAAAGTTTGCTATTTCAGCCGTATCATCCAGATGAACTTCATTTAAGTTACGAATGCCAGAATCAATAAAACAAAAATTAGTTTTGGGGGACATCAACTGAGCTTTCAGGTTAAAACAATAAAGTCCTAGAGACCGAGGTTGTGCAAACAAGGTTGCGACCCTGATGCATTAAACAAACTATCTTCGAACCTGTGCCATTTCAAACATCATTAAAAGTATTCGTAAAGCTATGTTTTGCATATTTTTTAAACCAATTACATAAAAATGGTGCAAGGTCTTATTTATATGCATTAATAAGTAGTTAATTTGGGTGTATGGAACTTGCGTCAAAATTTAATCATGAATTAAGGATATTCGTTGAGTTTACACATTAACTAAAATTTGATTATGCTTAGTGTTCGAAAGTAGGCATTAAATAATGGATAGTTGTTAGAAGATGAATACACTACACTACAAAATGTGGTTTAAAATCGTTTCATTCAAAAAAAACCTAAAAGAAAGTTGATGAAGTCAAACTAAATGCACAGATACTAATGGAACTATGCGACTTTAATATTTGGTTTATAAGCCACTACACTAGATAAACGATGCTTGCTTCATCCGAAAGGCCCACCATCAGGGCTAATTCATCAGTCACCGAATTGTATATGTTTTGCATCCGAAACATGTTTCCTACTCTCCAAAATGTGTTTCGAATGTGTTTACAGATCTTATATTGCATGTTTCTTAGAAACGCGATAATTGTAGCAAACTATTAAGCCTTGTGGCCTTTGTGGCCTTGACAATTGTTTTTCCTTCTCATCAAATCACCCGCAGCTTCCGAAATCAGTGTGCTTGTATGTAAATTGCGCGTCGTTTGTTGTTTATTGTATGGTTCTTATTAGTGCGTACATTATTAAAGCCCATGAAATTGTAGGTGTTGATATTAACGGAAAATTGTATTGCTATCTCTTTTTTGAAAAAAAGTGGGATTTTCAGAATTTTCCTGTCAGCTGTTAGTGCTTTTCTGAACGTATGTGTTTTTACTCATAATTTAACCGAACTTGCGAGATTTCCATGCTTTGAATATAACTACACAGATAAACTTGTGTTTGCGCATTTTGGTTTGCTGCATCAAGATCATGTGTATCTGTCAATTAAAGCCATAGACTTCACACATGTAGGGTTTGATTAACAAAGCAAGCAAGGATGACATAGACCAATAATAGTTTTACTATCACAGGTATTTTTGTTATACTATTACATATAGGTAACACTTGTTTTTTTTGAAAATGTTGCTTTTTACCCAACATAATTTCTCAATTTTCTAGCTAGCCAACCAATCTTGATGGTTCCACCCCTTGCATTTAGTCACAAACGTTTTAGCCGGTATCTCAAAGTTTTGGCTATTCACTATACCCTATTGAATTGACTCTCAGAATCAGAAATATTGTATTGCTAGGAATCAGGCTCGACACATAAATGGTGTTCTACGAGACCTTATATTTGTTTATACCCTATCTCTGACCCATGATCACATTTGTGAAGTGATATAAATCTGCACCCCGCTCGTTGTTGGGCACTTTCCAGTTAATTTTTGTCCATAGTTTTTGGTTAGTGAATTAAAAAATGGCTATTTTCAATATTCGATTCAAGCCTCCTTACCACAGTAATTATAATTTTAATCTAAATAACCTAACTCATTCGGTCTAAAATATGCTTGCTTTATGATGGCATTTGTTACATCGATTTGCATATTCTTTTACTTGTTCTTATTATTTACAGTGCAATGATAAAAATTGCCCGACTAACGTCTTCGAAGGTAACCTTTTTTATACTTTATAAAACATTGCATTATGTGTCCTGTTATCAAAAATAATGGCGATTATTAAGGCAATCAGTCGTTATATTGTTCATTTGACCCTATAATAGCTGTTGTATGAGATGTTTCTTTTGGCACGGATGCATCTGATCTAACGACAGCTTTTTTTGAATGTTCCAATGCCTATCGTTTGTTCTCTTGACATGCTCGGTTACTTTTTATTTGAGGCGATTCCAGTAGGTGGTTTACTAAATTTTACGAGCGGCTGGTCAAGATCTGCAGCGAAAAATTGTATCGATTCTACAGGATTATATCATGTTTACCTCATTTTAAAAACCTTGATGTATTTGTCAGTTATCTCCGCCTGATCTTAGTTTAAGCCAGAATATATTGCCTTTTTTGCTATGAATGTCTGTAGCAGCACATGTGGTATTTGTTTAATCACAGGTATTTACGTATCCTTACTTTTTTTGTTCCCTAAAATTGAAGCTACGTTTTTCAGTTTCAGACCATCTGCCTCGTTCATGCGAAACGTCAATCCACGATTCATGAGTGCTCAGCAAACATTCTGAACAATTTGGTTTCCATTCGTGGAAAAACCTACCGAAATGACTCGTGCTACAACATTTCTCCGAAAATTCTTGACTTGTTGAATCGTAATCTCCATAACCAGAAAAACCACCCGTTGTGGCTAATCAAGAGTCGCATAGTTGATTTTTTCTATAAGGTAAGATGGATTTTGCGCTTTGCACGTTCAGTGGATGAAATTCACATCATCCGTAGACTTCTGCATTGCTTTCGAATCTTCATGTGTTGACATTGATTTCTCAGAAAAATTGACGTCCTTCGGTTTTTACCCGAGTTAGGTTTTATGGATTTTTTGTCGTCAACCAACCAATGTCAACAATGACCAACAGCCGAGTAAATACTAACAATCAGGCTCTGGGTAGTCCCTTTCCGATATTTTATGTTTCCCAACAAAGATTGGTGTTTCCATTCGAATCTTATCTAAAATGTGTGGTAAACATTAGTTGTTTTGGGTACGTACTTATCTCAGTAATCATGACTTATGTTTTCAATGAAACATGACCCGATACCTTCACTTTTATCTCCCCTGGCTTTAGTTCATTTGTGTTTACTTCAAGACAGATAGAAATTCCAGCTTAAGCTCCTGTTTATATCCATTATTGAAGGCTGAGAAAGCACTTCTCTTAGTTTGATGTAAGTAGTCGCTCATGACACCAAGCCGAATTTAATTTTAGTTACTTTGGCGACGTCATACCTGCATTTCTATGGTGTTCCTGCATTGTTACAGTGTTCCTTGAGTTGAAAAATGCCTTTTCACATTTCTTCCCAATCTCCAGCGCCCTGCCCACAAGCGTAGTCACGAAAACAGTGCTGGCGGTGGAGGTAGTCCTCTCTTCTCCGTTCACGATTCAATCAGCCCAGTTGTTTCGACATTTCAAAATTTTGACAGCCTCCTTGTCGCACCGGATCATGTGAGTCGTCGGCCGACAGACACGTATTACGTAAACGCCACAACCGTTCTGCGCAGCCACACCTCCGCCCACGAGATGGATCTCATCAAGTCTGGTCTGAACGCGTTCCTTGTTGTCGGAGACGTCTACCGTCGAGATGACATCGATGCTCTTCATTACCCTGCCTTCCATCAGCTTGAAGGCGTGAGGCTTTTTAGTCAGAATGAGGTCCGTTTTGTTGCATGGATTGCGATCTCCTCTTAATTACTTCGACCCTTGATGCTCTGCTCCCATCAATCGCTTCTGTGTTTGGCAATCAGGCTTATAATTACCTCTTGCAGCCGTTGCTGTTTGTTGTTGCGATGACCTAGGCCTTACCAGTGCTTCTGCCGCCTCCTCTTTTTTGTATAAGCAGCTAATTTTTCCAGCTAGAATTTATTTGATGTGTCTCAGGATCCCAGGTTTAATCTTTTTGGCCAATTCGACCTTATAATGTTTAATCAGCACCTTAGCTTGTAGTTGACTGCCGTTCCAAAATTTTGTGCTGATGGGCCTGTAACCAGAGCCTTGACATGCGTTATCACAACATAAAACAATAAAATCGGCACCACGTTCTGAAAATCAGTTGCCTGTCGTGCAAACCACCTGATGCCTTGAAATAGGCGAATGGCTCTGTGGGTCCACTGAGTGTCCGAGTCTTGCTGTGCTCGCTAAAGTTGTCTTCGCTTCAAGTCCTCACAGTTTGCATCATTTCCTGTTTACTTGTAGTTATTCAAGGACGCAATTGACCCAAGCGGTTGTTTCAATCTCTTCGAGCCCTCAGCACGCGATGCGCATGCACCCCTGGTGCCCCTATCCGAGGCTTTGCCATCCTCGGATCTGCCTCCGGATCGGCAACCTCGACACTCAATCGAAACCACCTACTGCCTGGAGTTTCAGTTGAAACGGGTTCTCGAGGAATTAGCTATCCATCTTTTTGGAAAAGGTGAGGTCGGATTTGTCTTCTTTTGTTCACTTCTTTATTTACTTCAAACGAGACTTTAGAGAAGTACCCTTTCTTTATCAATGCACCACAAAGTTATTTCACTGGTCGACAGTGTTGGTCAATGCTGATCTCTTGAGTCTTCGTAGACGTCATTATCAAGCTTTATGTTGTGTTTCCGGTGCGTTTGAGGTAAACCTACCTGTGCTAAGCCCAGCATAGGGAAAACTCATCTGCGAACACGAATGTGTGAATTTGCAACCCCCCTCAATGTAAAATTATGTTTGATGTCTTAAAAAATAGGTATAATGTGTCCTTCAAGTTACAGTAACAGCTAATTACCATCCCGAGCACGTATTTAGTTACCAGTAACCTGGGCTATCAACGCTAGATATAAGTCCAGATTGGAATCGCTGCAGTTACTGAAAAATTAGCCTTGATATCTGAATGTGTATCTGTAGTGCTTGATGACAAGGTTATGAAGATTTGTGGTGGCCACGTGGAGTTGATTCAAAGGCCCGAGAACGCCTAACAATAAGGTAGTCATGTTGTTGAGCGCTGGCAGAACGCCAGCTGGCAAGCAGTGGCGTGTCGCGTGGTCAGGCGGTGCCTGACGCCTCTCGATTCTGATTTGGCCAAAACTGGTTGCCTGACGTGTTGGGTTATTCACGTAGACATTCCCATGCGGTGGGTGCCCGCGTACTTCCCCTTTACGCATCCCTCTTGGGAACTGGAGGTGCAGACGGGCGTGTTGACCGGCAACTCCACGGACGGCTGGACTGAGATGCTGGGTTGTGGCATTCTGCGACAGGAAATCCTCGACCACAGTATGTTTGGCGTTAGTGTTTTTCTTCTCATTTTTACTCGACTCGGCTTCAGAAAAAAGAAACAACTTGAATTTACTTGCGTAGGCGGTGTGACGAACAAGGTTGCCTATGCGTTTGGATTGGGGTTGGAGCGGTGGGCAATGAAGTTATACAGCATTCCAGACATCCGATTGTTCTGGTCCCAGGATTCAGGCTTCTTGAATCAATTCAAAACTGATGATTTCAACCAACCTATCCATTACAAGGTGAGTGCTTGCGTAGAAGGCTTTCCAACGCACGCAGATGATGCCTGCAAGTACTACTGAAGCCCCTCCGTCGTAGACCTTGTCCATCAGCAATCGATCCTAAATATCAAGACAACCTTGTACTCACAAAACACCAAACCAAGCTCTGATGCTATGTTGGAGTGTGAAGCACGGCGTCTCTGGGATTTCGATGTGTCTGACCCCCCCCCCGAGACAATGAATCCTTTTTGAATCTGCATTTCATTTATCTTACCTGCTTCTGGACAAACAGCTATTCTTGCACACGAGAAAGAGAAACATCAGTCTTGAGTAAAAATTGCGGGGCTTGAAAGTGCTATAAGATTCTGAGCTATCGATTTCCGTGAGTACGATGATATTAACGTCGCCTTAATTTACATCAGTATGATCTCATTATAAATCTCATTATTTTGCTTATGACAGTAACTGCAGGCAACATTGTAATACATACTCAGATGCAGGTTATGGCTTCAGTGCGATTGCCGTGGTTTACTAAATGACGCCTGGTTCTGGCTATTATTTTACTCCCGCTAGGCCGTGAGCGTCTTCCCTCCGTGCCACCTGGACATTTCCTTCTGGTTGCCGAGTGAGACCGACCCCAAGCCGTCCTCGTCGTCAGCCCACCTCGAGTTTGAACGCGACTTCTTCGAACTTGTCAGGGGCGTGGCGGGTGACCTCGTCGAACAGGTACACTTTCAGGCGTGGGCGAATTTTAGCTCGCGGACATGTCTCATTTAACCTAGGTATCTGTTTCATAATTTGTGGCATTCCGTGCTTGGGGGGGATGAAAAGACATTAATTCTGTCGCGCAGCTTTGGATTGACCTCTGAGAACTTTGTGCGAGTCTTACGTGCTTTTGACCTTTCACCCAACACCTAGGTGACGCTTATCGATCGGTTTGAGGACAAGAAGCGGTCGCGGGTGAGTTACTGCTACCGCATAGTGTACCGCGATCACCACCGCACCCTCACCATGAAGGAGGTTCGTCCTCTGCACCAGAAGGTCGCTAGTCTTGCTGAATCCCAACTGAAGGTCACAGTACGGTGATTGGTCGGTGCTCACTTCTCGCCTTCCCTACTGTACATACCACCTCTTACTCAAGCACCTTCCTTCTTCTCCCTCTCGAACTTCCTCCAGTATTTCCTCCTCCCAGTAGGCTATCAAGTGACTTGCTACCAACGTGTATCCGGGATTTCCGATAGAGCTTAAATTGGGATGTTTTTAAGCAGTGTGGTGGTATTTTTCTACCACTACCTCATGTTTTTTGGTCATTACCAAAAATTCAATTCACGAAGTCGGCAGCAACAACCGTACAGGCGAAGTCACATCTTGGGTCAATATTCATAAGAAATTGCACACTCTTTGGTATTAAAAGTATTGAGAAAATCGAGAACCTGGAATGGCCCGGTTGAGTTCTCGGGGGCTCCTCGCTTCTGAAGTCTCGGCGTTGCCGGTGTCAGTGCGGAAGGGTCGCCAGGCAACGTGCCGATGGCTTTCTGCAGTAGGCCACTGTGTGGTGCCGACAAATTGATAAATGCTAAAATGAGCGTCTCGTGAATACAATTACGTCGCGTGAGTTCTAGAATCACGCAAAATCATATATTTGACAACCAAGCAGGGAAATCGTGGGCCTTACAACCCTTGAATGTCATGTATTTGGAGTCATCAACCAATCAAAGATGCCTTAGTTCATTTCTTCTTCTGCATCATCCGCCTTCTGTATTTTAAAGCTCTTCAATTTGTGTGAACAGCAACGACGGAGAGGAGCACACGCAATTATTATTTGTACGTATGTGGTGGGTGTGGTGTGTGGACAGTTGTGCGTAACACGCTCATCAGTGGGTACGGGTTTCCTGGAAAATTTGCACAGCCGCTCAATATGGCCACATCATATCGAAGACAAGGAGGGAGACAAGGAAGAATAGGTTGTCGTCTTGCAAACACACGACGACTATCACAATACTCTGGAATCATCTTTTTTCAGCAGCAACAGCCGTCAAACCAAAATAACCTGTCTACTCACTCTTATAAAGTAGATTGGATGTCAAATTATGAGAGTAACACGATGGAGGCACCAGAGCCAGCCTGGGGATGAAGGTGAGAGGTATTAATCTGTACAAGTGGAAGGGAAACATCCTAGGAACTTTGGCGTTTCTTCATGGCGAGCAGGTCCTTGTAGATCCGTGAGACAAGGAACCGGGGATAGGAGTCCCTCTGCATGAGGGTGTAGATTTGCAGTTGGGCCTCGTCGAAGGTGTGCGGTGTTGGCTGGGTCATGTTAGAATTTATCAAATCACGAACCTTAGAGTCGAGACTCACCTGAAACATCAAATAAAAGCAAGTGGTTAATGCATTGTGCAAAATACTATTGGCTCTTATTGCTGCAGAGCTCCGAGTGTTCCTTTTGAGAATCACTAAATATTCCGATTTTCCCTCAACTTGGCTGTGTGGTAACTTGGGCATGAAAAGTCCTCAGCGTTTTTTGGCTTCATGGAGGGATTTTAACCGTGGTCACACCGATTGAGGCATAGGAAATCGCTTAATTCGATGTATTCACCCGAGTCCACAACCATGACGATACGACTTTCTTCCGTGATACGCATTTCCTTGCGAAAATCCACGACTTAAAGGTCGATATTGTAGTAATTCATTGCAAATTAGCTTGGAAGTGTTGTCTAGATCGGCCCTGCGAATATAAATCTGTTGTGTTTCCTTCCTTGTGACCTCTGTAAACCAATGACACATTTGACGGTTGCGTGGGGGCAACTCGAGGTTTGAGGGCGGGCTTGAATCCTGGAACTACACCTCAGTAAGTGTGGGGTTTCAAAGGAATATCCAGATTTCTAAGCTCTAGCAAGGCTGGGTTTATTGGTAGTTGGTCAGTGACTTCCCGACTAAACATTGAATACCCTACTACCAGACAATTTCGTTTTCTAAATGTAGCCTGAGCATCCCAGCTAACGAAAGTTACCAAACAAACAACAGGAATCACTGGAATGAATTAAACAGGCATCTGAAACACTGCAAATTGTTGCACTAATGATATTAGAGCCCACACATAGTAACACTCAAATAACTAAGTCGTAGCTACTAGACGTTGAATTCACATACATGACACACGAGCACCACAATTCAATCTGTCTTAATGAAGTGATGCGACAACTCCCTAACGTTGCTGTTGGAAAAGAAATTCTGCAATTGGACTCACTTCTTTCGGAGAGAGGATAGATATGTAGTCCTCGTATATCATGCGAGCCTTCTCCTCGACCAGTTCGTGGTTCGTCTCTTTCTTGAGGTCCTCGCACGCCATCCAAAAGAGGATATTCTCCTCGCTGTACTCTGACCGAAGGAATTCCCGAAATGCCTTTTGACCGACTGAAAGGAATATAAATGGGAGCAGGGTGACATGGCAACCAATCCGTGCTACCAGGATTCACCTAATTTGACAGATGTGAAAGTCCTTGATGTTTCGTCATTTATTTCGCATTGCTTTCATCACACAAAGGGATTTCAAAATTTGAACCTCTTCACGTTAAGATTTTATCAGAGACGCCTTCGTGACATAAGCCAGTGAGAAAACTCTTTGGAGTCAAGTTATGTGGGGGGTAGTTGTGTAAGGCATGGAGTAAGTGCCTGGATTAAAGCTTAGCCGTTGTCCATTGCGTCTCTTAGAAGGCGGTTTTCGGTGACTAACGTCATCCCGTAGCTTTAGCATCGGTGTCTTCCAAACGGCTTTACATATTTTAATGCTTATGTGTTAAAACTAATGGGAGAAATGCAAGCAAAACGCACCGCCACCGTCCGTCGAGGTGAAACATCGCATGAGGTTATCAAAACACTCGGACCAGGAGAGAACTTCTTCGTATGTTGTGCTAAAGAGTAAATAAAAATGTGCTACTCCTCGCAAAGACGATTTTACTAAAACAAAGTGGCGTAATAATTCAAGTTCCTGGTTTACTAGGAGCGTGCACTAGGGCGAAATTTATAAGGTCTCGATTTTGTTAAAAATAATTTCACATGAGGCATAACTTGGGGCCGACAAGTGCAGGACGAGTCGGCAATTACGGACGTGGCAATTACGTCCGAATCAGGTAACGGCATTTTTGCCAGAAGAGCACTTACGGCCGTTGCACCAAAAGTACACAGAACCGGAAGTCTGCAGAATCAGCATATTACTAGGTAATTTGTACACTATTTTACTTTTGATTATCTCACGCGCACACGCCTTCACGGACATTTGATTGTCAATTGATGCATAGGCATGTAGTATTAGCTGCCGTGAAAATACTGAAGTCAAAATTTTCGACTTCACATTTCCGGTCGCTTCCCTAAGTCGCTAAGTCAACGTTTCTAATTCCATCGTATCACGTCGTCTAACAACGGAGACACCAAATTCCCCTTCCGGTTGACTCACCGAGGTTCCAAGATTTGCGTCTCTGTTCGACGAGTTTCGTCCAAGCTGTGTGTCGAACGTTTGCCCGTTTCGATGGGAGCTCTAACCCGAATGCTGAATAAAAAAACGAATTTCTGTGAAAAGCTATTTCGCAATTTAGCTATAAGTCTTGAACATTGAAACAAAAATCCCGAAATATCCCTATTCAGCTCTTTTTTGAGCAAGGGTGAAGATTTATAACGGAGGTTAGCACAGGCCAGACATTCTATGGTCTTGTGAAAGGCGTTATCCGTTTAACCACTTGTGTCTGGTTCAAACATAAATTGCGTTACGGAATTGTCATGTGTCTATATGTTTGTTTAAGCCTTCTCAATAGTAAAATAAGGGCTTTTATGACCTTGTTAGTACACACAAGCTTGGTGTCAGGTGGTGTGGACTAGCGTGAAACAGTTTTTAATTCCTAAAGAACTGCCCAAAGGTCAAGCACTCAAAGCAATGATGGTTTACTGATTGAGCGCGAGTAAAGGCTCTTCAAAATTGCGCACTTTCATAGGAGATATATTCAGGCATTCATATGGAATTAACAAAACACTAGAAGGTACAGATTTAGACGGCCTAATCTAGCCTTAAAGAGAGGAGTCGGTATTTATTCAATTATAATTTTTAATATCACACCTAGAATTGGAAAAGGTTGATTTCTAAAGAGAAGGAAGAAGTTCTAGAAGACTGAAAAGATCACAGGCGAAGTCATGCGTATATCCTAAATTGAGCTTTTGGTGTGATTTTTTTTTCTAGCACTTACCATGAGCACGAACAACAGCAGCACCAACAAAAGCAGCATGCCCTGGCCCTCGAATCGGTGTCCAACGAGAGGGTGCTGTCTGCCTTCAGCATTGGCGCCCCGGGGTTGTCGGTGAGGGAAATAACATTCGTGTCGGACGACGGTCGAACGGGTTTGTTGAGACACTCGATCGACGAGCGCCGATTCAGAGGAGGCGTTGCAGTGTGCTTGGAGAACACCGCTGCTTGGATGGAGTTGGCAGTCGCGGATCCACCTCCAGTCGAGGACGACCCATTTCCACCGGGTAGCCCAGTTCCAGATGAAGGCAATTCTGCGCCGCCCCGACTCTTCCCAGAGACCTCTCTCGAGTACTTTGAGTTCTCTCGAAACAAAAAAGGATTGGAATTTGGCCCCGGTGGTGGTGGTGGTGGGGGCGGTGGCGGAGCCGGAGGAGTTGGGAAGAACCCGCCTCGATTATTGACGATCGTGGTCGCAGTGCTACCCAGTCCAGAAAAGAATCCTCGAGAGGTGAAGAAATTTTCTTCCTCCGCAGTTTTGTTGTTAAGGCCAATCGACGGTTGTTGATGAAGTTGCCATGGCGAAACCCAATTGCTGGTGGGTGCCACTGTCGTTGTGCCATTGGAGACAACAATGGCGGAGGAGGGAGTCGATGAGCAGGAGATCGGACTGATAGCAGAGGAGGAAATGACGGAGGAACTGTACATACAGTTATTGAAGGAGAGCTCTGCCCCAAGGCCTGCAGAGGAGTAGCTTGAACAGTTTTCCCTACAAGATAAAGTAAAATTTCCCCCAAATACATTTGATCTCTTATTCATCGTGAACTTTTAAAGGTATTGAATGTGATTTTTAAAAAAACCAGTTGCACCAATTTTAAACCAGTCCGTACATTTTAAGGCAAACAAGATCATACATGGTCATCCAAATCTTAATCACATATTACAGCACTTTAAAAATGGTTCCTACCATTCTGAACAATGTCAGTGCGATTCGGCATCAGATCGCTTTAAAAACGCTTTAACGTCGTTACCTCATTGAACAGCGTTAGCAATAAGTTTTTTTACTACAGAAGAAGCCCGACAACCGGAAGTCGAACCCTTTGTGTGTTTCCCGCTAGGTTAAAAAGAGCGTTAACCTGTTACGTCTTGCATTATCGTGAAAAAAAATACTTACGCAACTTAATACGGGAGCTGTCGAAGTGTCTCCGCAACCAACTGAGATATAATTAGACAGCGGCTACAGTCGAGTCTGCATGGGTGCTGGTTGTTTTCAGGCCAACGTCTAGATAGGCGCCGAATTGCATGTACTCTAACGCAGCCTGACACGTCCGTTCGATTATAATTACGCACAGTCATGTGTGATTAGTCGGGCGCAAAACACTACGCGTGCTAACTCGGACGGCAAGTGCGTGCTCCGCGTTCACTCAATATCGAGTGTGAGCGCGCATGCACGTGCGCGCGCATGTGTGCGTGCGTGCGTGCGCAATATCACTGCGCGCATTGCATGCGAGCAATGCTCCCAGTACGCGACCGATTGGCCGTGCTAAATTTAATACGAAATCTAGCGAAGATGCTGCTTTCACGCGAGCATGCGCAGGACCTGCGGTGTATGAAAGTGTGTGTGTGTGTGTGTGTGGCAGTTCCAGCCCAGACCTATTTTTAAACACCTATCTCATAATTCAGCCAATCATCACCCGTTTAATTATTGATGACAGCCTGGCCACTAAAGTTAACAAGGGGAAAAAGATTTTAGTCTCTACCGAGCATTTCCCATTGAACTACGTTTCAAAACACGTTATGCCACCTAGGTCTTTTGCTTCTCTGTTAAAACAAAGTTGCTGAGAGTCAAGTAACACCATCAGATGGCTGCCCAATGATTATGGCGTAATAAACTCGTGCTGACTTTCCTTTAACCCTAACTGAAAGGTTTTAAATCTACGACGACTGTATACTTCGTTTTGAAACGGTACGCTAGATTGTACACCTCATGCCTTCATCGGCCAACTTTCGATTGGTCGTCTGAGCTAACTAGATTTGGGCATTCGAAATGCGACAATGCCATTAAGAATTCTGATATTCACATATGGTTGGCATCAAACCCATTAGGCGTTGTAAATGTCGAAATTTGTTAAATGGACCCCACAAGCACTAGCCAAAAATAACTGAACCTGTGCCATACGTCAGAAAACGTAGGGCCCTTGTTAGTTGCTTCCATCAACCCCAGATAAATCCACCCTCATACAGGGCACACGAAATGCAGAAGAAGATTCTTACTGGAGATTGGGGTCGGAGTGTCCCCTTGGAGAGGCGAACCACTCTACGGAGAGGAGGTCAGCAGACAAATCGCCTGTAGATGAAACAGTGTTGTTTCCCATTGGTCGGAAGGGAGCGGATGCCTGTTTTAATTGGCTCACAACCACTGGTGGTGTAGAGGTCGGTGAGACAGTCGAGCCAATGGCGTTCCAGTAAAAGTACTCATCACCTATTCGCTGCAGGACCCCACCTGACTTTTCTTTGGTACCTGTATGGGTACTCGGAGTTCCCTCTTCTAGGACCGGGTGAATGAAAACCAGGGGTCCACTCGCCATCTAAGTGGTAGAGCGGCAAAAAGATTAAGGGTAGCGAACACCTCCTAGGCTATGGTAGCGTTGATCCACCCTCCGGGGACACGTGCGTTGCATTGGAAGTGTCGTGTGTGAAGAAAGTATACCCATAACACTATTTTTTTCTCTAGGCACTTTCACGACATTACCGACTTGACTTCGTCACCGTAGGCACGCCATAATATAATTAAATGATCAGAACAATAGCACTTAAATGCTTCAAGCAATATTTTTCAAAAAAAACTTTCCGACTTCGCAATAAATAGAATTTTGGCTCTGGGGGCACGAAGTCTTTGTTAACTTACGTGTGAAAAATCACTGGCTTTTTATATGTACACAGCAGATATGCCGGGTTGTACGAAAATCGCCCCAGTAAAGCAGTATTCACACACAATTTTGAAGTTGAAATTTGTTTTTGTACTGCGCCGTTCCGATTCAGATCTAGACCCCATGGAAGAACCTCCTGATTTTGACGAAAATAGTCCACACTACCCAGTCTGATCAATTCATCCCTCGCTGGCTGTTATGATCCATTTCCTTTAAAACGACGTTGGACTTTTGTATTGCACTTCAACCAGAAGGCAAAGTTGGACGCACTCCCCTACTACTGCGATCTGAAGGGCGTCGTGACGACCGACCTGTCAAAACACCAGCTTGACTGGCTGTCACCATAACAGAGACCGCAATGCGATTTTAGACAATTGAAGTAGGTGAACTTTTTCCCACAGGCAACACTACTTTTGGGTCCGTTTCACATTTCCTCCTTTGTGATAGTACAAACCACCTAGTTCCGAAAATGAGGCCTGTTTTGACACATTATCGTTATCACATTTCGCGATTTTGAAAGATTATACGCTGCAATGCTGGAAGTTAAACGTTTCTTAGTACCACGATCCCAAATTAGGAAATGTCGCATTAATTAATTCTACTTAGTGTTATATTGTAAATCAACATTGTGCTAAATGTTATCCAACTTTTCGGGTAACCAGTATCTTGAAAACGTCCGTTAGATCACCATTTGTCTGCCGCAGACCCGTATTCAGGTTAAATTAAAAGAGTTGCTACCTAAGACGACCATCCATAGACGATATGCACGTTGATCTACCACAACCACTCAGTGCAAATTGATTAGTTGTAAAACCCGTCAAAGTTTCTTTACGCCTTTTTTGGTAATCGACGTGCGGATTTGGCTTAGTCCCCTAGAAAAAAAGAAACAGCATTTCTATCCTATAAGACGCGTTGACTAAATTGCTTAAATCATACCCTGGTTAGGGGAAAATAACCCTTAGTTTTTATCTAATCAAATATGTTTTACAGTCTTAGAAGCAAAAGAGGGTTTTCCGGGATCTAATACAATGTTGTTTTTAGTTTATAGTTGCGAGTTATAAAACTGACAATCCTCAGGTCACTGAGAAGCCCTACCCCCATAATTGACAAGCGTAACTACAAACTCATGACTTCTATTTATTTCGGCAAACTGTTTAACGTTGTAAACAAACAGAGTTTTGGGCAAAACATAAAAAAGGCAATAGACTCAGAAATCAGGTAGATTTTATCTTGGATTGACAGGACCAAATCTTCTAACTGCACGCTCACATGCACAAGTATCGATGTTAAGACGATGTGATAGTGGTAGCCTGCCATTAGCAGTCTGGCGTAAGCCTTGAGTTTTTGAGGAACTGGATGTTAGGAAATGAGTCATAAACTCGTGTACCCTGGTCTCTTGTTTTGTTTTAACGCAATCACTCTCCCAACTTTCGTAAAATGGACAACGCACGATGCGCCGCAAAACACGAAATTTGTGAGTGACAATAACAAAGTTTCAATCACCGAATAGCACAAAGTAGAGTACCTTAATATTACTGGCGAAATATGGCTTTGAAGAAAACGATAACGCTTGCCCGATTCTGCTTCGATGGCTTGGTGCTATTAAGTGACAAGCCTGGACGCCGTTGTGTGAGTCAACAGTGAATCAACCCGGGCAAGTGTACGAGAGAGCCAGAAAATCAAATCTTCAGAATTATTCATCCACCATGAAGGAAATCTGACATTTCGGTGCTACTAGCCACCCTAGTCCATTTCATGCGTTACCTAAGTTAAATAAACTTGCATCGCTCCCCAAGATTTCCTGACTCTTTCAACTGCAATCAGGTTTTCCAAATGCATCCGATTTGTCAGGGCAATCGCTAACTGTCTGACTTAATTGGTTTGCTTAATACTGGTTTTGGATTAGTAGAAGATTATAAATATGGTAGGCTGTGATTACCTGAGATGTCTAAAAATTGTGTAAATGAGGATTCTTGCGCAGGTTACCAGACGGGAGAATGGATAAACACCAGTTAACCTAATACAAAAACAACATTTTGCATTTTAAAAACCATTATTATGTCAGAAAACAATCTACGGTCTCCCTAGGCATCGCACAGAGATCTGGGATTTTCCAAACTCAAAAAGGCCTTGTAAACATGGGGGCAGGTTGCCAGTAGACTTGGCCCGTTCCTTCGTAATTGCCCCTCAGAGTGCCTGTACCTCCCGCAACGATAGCCATCAGAATCAAAATCGAAACGTAACAAGTACATCATACGTCTTCGGGAGATACTTGACGCACGATTTTCCTTCGTACAACAGTGTGCTCCCAGTGATCTCCAAGGTGGTGCGCAAGTAACAAGACATAGAGACGTTGGAGAAACAAAAACACTTTGGTTCCACTTGAGAACTTCAATTAGTAGAGGATCCTCATTGGCCAAATTCTATATAAACTGATTTTATGTTCAGTCAAGTGGCTCTGCTAACTCGATTTAAGCGGAATTCACTTAGTCATGGTCAATCAAAGAAGACCTTTGGGGAAAGGAGGGGGTTGATGAAAGGATTTAGGGCCACCAAAATCGTGCGTTCTGATGAATCGACTTATGCTCGGGATGGCAAGAATGTTTTCATCTAGAACGATGTCTGTGCAAATAAGGCAAGCGTCGAAACACCTGCCGTATTGTGAGGGCAGCTGGAATCGCCAAGGTAACGCGAAAAATTGCCCTCGTAGTCAGCCTACTATGATTGGACAAAACTAACGTAAGATTAATTGCTATTTTATTGACGATGATGAGCAGGCTATTTTCACCTCGCAAATGTTTCATTGCGCCCACACTACCTCCGGTTTTCTTTATATATCATCACAACTGAAACACAGTGAGCTACAAGTGAGCGAGAATGTTTAAGTTCACTATCAAACGAATTTTTTCTCGCTAGAAGCTCGAAATTGCTGCTGTGACCCAGAAAGCACGAAGGTCTACAGTAATAAAGCTTCCATGTTATTCTAGGGTAGTCGTTTTACAATTTTTGCGATGAATACTCACGAACTTTGCTCTTCTCTAACGATAGGATAATTCGCAGGACCAGTTCATATCAAACCGCTACAACGTTCGTTGTGACTGAAAGAGTCAGTGGAATTGTCAACATTTGACCACTCCCCCATTCTCAGCTTCATTGGTTCTGACACAAAAGAGTGACCTTGTGTGGCTAACTATTCGACTGAGCTTCAGCTTGATTATTTACAGCTTACTAATCAGTCATCGCTAGTCAAAATTCCTGTTTGCGACTAGACCCACGTTTTAGTGTCATTCCCATCACTAATTCACCCATTGCATAAAACACGGATTATTTCACAGCAGCCAGAAACACGCCCAGCAGCCTGTCACGATTTGTAGGCAAAAAAACGACTTCGCTGAATTTTTATTTAATTCGAAGCGTTTGAACCCTTGGATTTTGAAAAATACAGACTGCACACGCAAACCGAAATTCGCCCGAGCTTGGTAAGCACGTGGTGGTTGTGTGAGGACGGAGCCCAAGGTAGCAAAGTGAAATTTAGTATGTCTGTCGACCTCAGAAATCGGATACAGTCTGATAAAAACAGCTATTAATTTCACTATTAACTGTATCGCAGCAGACTAGCAGCGATCAAAGTCAGCTCTGCCGGTACTTCGGAACTCAGAGAATAAAATATGCTGGGACCAGAAAAAGTGGAGCGGGAAACAGAACCGATGTAGGTGGTGTGGTATTAGTCGGATCATGACAACTGTGACCGAAGTTTTCAAAAAATTTCACAGATAAGCTCAAGAGAATCACCACTGCCACGGAAAAGACTACTACTGAACCAAATCACAATGTTCAACCCGAAGTGCTATTTGTATTGAGCCTTTTTCCTGGGGTAGACCCGTCATGTACTCGAGTGCTTTGACAAGTTTACACAATAATGCTTCCATTCCCAGTCCGAAGTAGCAATTTTTACTGGGGACCTATCAAGTGGACGAAAAAATTTGGTTAACTAAAATTCACACCAGGGATTGCACACTTGAGCGTACTATCTGCGCAGCGATGTTTCTGGCACAATCAAATCAGTTAGCCTGACCCTCATTCATGACAGATTGTTGCCTTTTGTAAGTTTTTAATCAGATCAGCTAGTTTGCCTTTTTTGGGGTTCATTACCGACTGTTCGTGGAAAAAGGGCAGTCAGTGGACTGAGACAAATGCGTTCGAGGGCTTAATGGGAGAAGCCGATTCATCGAAAAAGCGGCATTCCGATTTGACCGGGCCATTGTTGTCAATCTTTTTTAAGTTAGCATTTTTATATATAAAAAACTAGCTGTCTCCTGCACCAGGAACTTCAAATACTGAGCTTTTGCAAAAAAATCTCTTATTTGGGATTTTCAAATATTTTTTACACAGTAAAATACCCCAAAAAGGCTAAACAAAAGTAGATAATTGCATTAATTTTTTGAATTCAATCATACCCACCCTTGTATTTCGTGTCAGGTCCATCAGCTTAGGTTCTGGAAGCCAAACCCCTGTGAATAACTGTAGTCAGCCAAAAAAGGACTACCCGTTTGAGTTTGAAGTGTGCTTGGGACCCAGAAGAAAACCACAGGGGTGGCTTAGCCCATTCTGGGTAATTTAGGTGCTTTAATCATCCAAACTTAGATCATCTTCAGTTG